AGCAGCCACCAGTGATTTCTATAGGAGGGAAACAAACTGCGACATCTGCTATAGTTAATAGAAATTACGTTAATTAGGAACATGGCATGGGTATATATATTTTTCTACCACATCTAGATGACACTTCGAAAGATGCAGCCCTAAGTTACATGTCACCATTTTCAATTTTCTGATGCTAACTTCATTAATATGAAGCCCTCAAACCCGATCAGAGTGCCACTCCTACTTCGTATACTCACAGTTAATATTTTTGTAGGGAATTTTCAATTATTTTACTTTTTTGTATAATGAACAAATTCTCTCTCTCTCTTTTTTTTTACACTAATAAATAATTTTGTATTACTAAGTGTTGGGTTATTTTTAAAATTGATTTAAATATTATCAATTCTGGAAATCACTAAAATTGTTCTTTAGTGGTTTAATCTTACTTATTCATGAATTTTTAATTATTTTAATGTGGTGAGCTGCCTTGGCTCCCACAGGATGGAGGGTAGACAGAATTGTGATGGTGGGAAAGGAAAAATCCACCTCACCTCTAAATGAGGGTGCACATCTTGGAGCAACATCAGAAAAAGACACTTACAAATCAGTTTCTTGTATCTCATATTAGTCAATGGAAATGTTAATATAACCAAAAAGCACATCCTAGCCACAGCAACATTAACCTGTAGATAATTCTTTTTCATTCCCAAAGAACTGTTTGGTAAACTTTCTGGGCAAATACTTGATCCTCTTTCTCTGGAGAGCTGCAGCCCAAATTTTAGAATTTGTTACCTTATATTTCTGGATTACTGCCTTGTGTCAAATATATATCACTCGTGTTTACAAATTGATTTGTAGGATTGACCATGTTATTTACAAATGAATCTCAGAGTTTACTTCCTCCGATTAACCTATTTGAAGAAGCCCAATTGTCGTATCACTCGTGTTTACAAATTGATTTGTAGGATTGACCATGTTGTTTACAAATGAATCTCAGAGTTTACTTCCTCCGATTAACCTATTTGAAGAAGCCCAATTGTCTTTCAAGGTAAACAGTAGTTACTTAAGATACCTATACTAGACTAGACTGTTAAATCCTGTTTGCTGAGGGCAGTAAAGCATAGAACACAATCCCTGAAGTGAAGTCTGGGGGGCATTTTCCATGTCCCAAGTTTCAGCACAGTGGCAGCAATAGAAGTACTATTAGCACTGGCCACAGCTACCGTTTCCTGAGCCCTTCCTGGGTGCCAGAACTGTCTAAGGGTTTTCTCACACATCATCCCATGTAATCTACACAACAACGTTGATAGCAAAATGAGGAGGCTGAGGTTCTGAGAATTTGGGTCACCTGCCCAATGTCACCCAGCCAGTAAGCACCCAAGTGTGGTCTGAAGGATACTAAAGCCTTGCTCCTTACTCTCCAGTGGTGAAAAGTTTGAGCCACCACTTGTGAAAGACTGTCCAGGAACCTGTGGAACCATTAAACCCAACTTTCTCGTACACACAAGGTGTGTCCTCAACACAACAAAGTCACACCTCCTCAGAAGGGCCAGGCTATCCACAGGATACAAAAAAGCCAAGCACAAGAGCAGGCAGAGTCCTACATTTTGGGGACCTAGAGGAAAAAGCTGACTAACCACCACCTCAGTGGACTTCTTTCTATTGGAAGATGGACACGCTTTCAAAATGACTCCGCCTGATGGTCCTCTCCCTGGGGACTCAACTAAAGCTGGGCAAGCAGGACAAGTTGCAGCCGGCCTCACCAGATCGTTGTGCCAGGGAAATAGAACAACGGCTGCCTTTCTGAGATGCCAATAAAACTACATTTTTAATGGCTTGAAACTAAATTGAAATTGGCCTGTTGTCAACAAATATCTATTCACACAAACCTAAGCCCCTTCATCCTCTCCCCCCACAGCCCCAGCAGCTGTCTGCAAGGGATAAAGAGCAGAGAATCCAAAGATGTCCAGTGGCTGGCACCAATATCCCCTGCATGATGCCATTCTCTTTTCATTCATTCCTCACTTCGATCCTCTGCTTTCTGCATGAATTACTTTACAGCTCTAACAGAGGCCATTTTCCTACCTCCTTGTTTCTTGTTCTTTCTTCTTGTGCCCCTTAGTTTTTACCTAAATCTATTATGGAAGAAGATTCATAGAGGAACATGGACAATGATACTGTGCATCACTATGTATAACTCCACCTTCAAATGGTCTTTAAGAGCTTTCCAGAAATTTGGATCAGCAGGTCACCTGGCACATGACTATGTGGGTGGACACTGCCCACCTAGTCTCCTAGCCACTGTAGCACACACAGAACAGCTCAGGAGCCCTGGAGCAGCAGGTAAAACATTTGTCAGCACCACTGAGATAACCTAGAATGCCTCTCACACAAATACCTGGGCAACTGGATAAAATAAAGATGCTTATGCCTTGGTTCTCACCAAGCATGATTCAGTAAGTCTGGGGTGGGGCCCAGGTGTATGTAGGTTTTGAATGTACCTAAGTTGATTCTGATATAATATTCCTCTGTCTACACTCGAAAACCACTGACATATTCAACATCTCAATTGTTCACCTGAAGGATAGAGCAGTACAATAATAACAGCTTACACAGACTAAGCTCTATGGGCCAGTGCTGTGGTCATTACTTCATTTAATCCTCAAATAACCACACAAGATATACATTATTATTGTCCTCATTTTTGTAGATGCTGAAACTGAAGCTTGGAGAGATAAAATAACTTGCCCAAGGTAACACCACCTATAAATCAGTGTAGGAGTTCTTCAGCTTGGGTTACCTGATGTTACGTTCTTAACTTCCAATAATCTCAGTACGTGTTCCATGCTTTACACATGGAAAAATAATCTTTTTGGAATTTGATCTTTTGCCTTAAAAGTCACATGTCTATCTGTAGCCAGTTCCTCATACCACAGAGGTATTTAACAAAATTATAAACAGAAGTTTAAATGAATGAATAACTTTGTTACTCAGA